AAAAAAACCAACTTTATTAAATGTTATAACGCTTTGTATCCTAACTTCTATATAAAAAACATTTATTTTAAGTTAAAACTATTTAAAAAGGAAACTTTTAATTTACCAGTGTAACTTGAATCAAAAAAAAAAAAAATTGTTTAAAAAAGACTTCAGGACCTTCAAGCTAATAAACAAAAGTTTAATGCGAAAACATTTAGTTTTTATTTTTAAATCTTATTTAAAATTTACAAAAACATTTAAAACATTCTAGTTCTATAAACCTATGGTATAAACGCACCTCCTGTGTGCCACTTACTTAATCTTCTAAATGCCAAAAAGGCTTTATACAGCAAATCTAAAATCAAACAGTAACGTATAAAATTCTAAAGTTTTATTTTCATATTAAACTATAAAAACTAAAAATCACTTTATTTTACTTTATTAGATATCGCTCCTGTTATTGTTGGAGCCGCACTTGTTAATGTTGTTGAAACAACTGTGCTGGATATGAGAAATATCTATTAAAATGTGTTATCTAATAAAAAATCTACATATTTTATGATTACACTAACTACAAACAGATTTTATAATGTGTTTTACCATGAGAGTACACTCATTGGCTGGCAAGGACAAAATTCTTGCTCTCAACAAAACCAATTCTCTATATAGCAAAGTACACCACTTGGCCAGCAAGGAAAACTCTCTTGTTGTAACTAAGCCAAGTCACAACACTTTAAAACCACGGAAACAACATAATAACTACTTAAAAGCTATAAACAAGTAACATTATAACACATAACACACAATGAAACACTTTATATATAACAGATATTGACACATAAACATTTATAAAATATAAATCCATATAACCATAATACTTATAAACACATTTAATAAATAATACATTTTACCCAATTATATGACACATAAAAATACTTAAATATATAAATTAAGAAATTTTTAAACTAATCAAATGCTAGATTGTTATATATCATTGGAAAGAGCTTCATTATAATATTTTTATAATCGAGCAATTCTACAAAAAGTTATTGCATTTTAAGTGTCGCATTTTCGGAATATGGATTTGTTAAAGAAACCGTGACCAAATTTGCAACTTTAAATGTCATAACTTTGTAAATTTTTATCAAAATTCATAAAACTTGATATCAAAAGAAGTTTTAAAAAGAACAATAAGTATACATAAAAGACGTATGCAGGGCGTTGAAAGAGCGTTAAATATATTTATTTACACCCATTAATATATTTATAATCTTGGTTTTTTTATTCTTTAAAAAAACCAAGATTATTAATATATTAAAACTTTAATTTTTCATTGAATTTTTTAAAATATTTTTATTTATTTTATATATATTATTTTATATTACGATCCGTCCTTCTCTAACTACCCTGGTACATAGCGAATCTCAAATAAAAAAAAGGTACCTATTTTAGGTGAGTAAGTAGGGTGTCTGATCGAGCTTTTTTCTTTATAAAAATCAAAAGGTAGCAAGAAAAAAGGTTTTTGCTAAAGTCTGGATATATAAGAAATAAAACTCATGCCTTCAATACATACCCGATGCACAAACAATAAGGAAGTTTTGAACAACAATAAACTTATAATAAACAAAATTTTCCAAAAAGGAATTTCCGAGCAGAATTAAAGTTAAACTGTTTTAATACCCAAAAAATTCTATGTTGATACAAATTTCTAAAAAATAACACAGCAACACATGTTCATACAATGCCAACATGGCCTATTTAAATACACGGCCTTCTATTCTGCTTAAATCCGAAAAAAATAGAAGGCCAGTTAAAAACGCCAAAGTTGTCGGATAAACAAACTTTCTCAAAATATTTTAACTATTACGCTATAAATTTAAGTAAGTAAGTCTGACACCTGATAATATTTGTGTATTGGCTTAATCAAAATATCTACTAAACTTTACTAAACTTTGTATACTTTATCAAGGCTTCTTTTTAGTAATAAAAATAGTAGTGATGTGTTTATAGAAAACAACACAACATTTTTAACCTTCATAATTATGTATTACTGAAATGATTTTAAAAAGACATTGGTTAGTTTGTCAGTAGAATTTTTAGGATATTCAAGGACTGTACAAGAAAAAAAAATACATAAGTTCTCAAAAATAGGCTTGAAAAGTATAAAAAAAAAATTATACACAAACTGATTTAAAATGTAAAACAAAATATTTTTCTTTTTTTCTTTTTAAAAAGACAACAATGCTATCTGCAACAATCGAATCACTGACTCTCTTTCTGATGTTATTAAAATAAATATTTTAAGTAACAGTGTGAATAATTTTGGCGAATTAAACATAAAAATGGTTGGTAAACTTCTCTACTGCCTTGAATTAACTTTGCTGATTTGTTGCACTTGAGACTGATAAATAACATCAAATACATGATCTAGCATAGCAAAACTGTCACAGACATATTCTAAAAGCGGTAATGATTGAGTTGTTAGCCCACTTCTGGACAATTAGATAATTATAATCATTCGTTTCCTGCTGACAATTTTGAGTACAAAGCAATTTGCAACATACTTAAAACATCTTAACCAGTTTTTGGCCATAAAACCAGCAATATAACTGGCAACTTTACAAAAATCATCTGATTAAATCACACAATCTAAATATCTTTCTTTGATCTGATCCATCAAAGATCTGGCATGTTGTGTACCTTCAACAGCATTAATACCATTTTCAAAAATTTGAATTCCATCTCGGTGGGAAATGAGCTGGTGACTAGCGAGCGACTAGCTAGCTTTGTAGCGATTTTCAAGCATTTTTTTTTTTGCTTTTTTTTTTTTTCAAAATGTTTTTAACATCTTTAAAATTTGATTTTCAGTGTTGAATCTATTAAAGTTATGTGAATAATCGAACTTTAAACATTGCAATTTTGTAGCAATGTGTCGCTAGCTACATATTGTAGCTTTGTAGCTAGCTACAAAATATCTCCAAATCTATAGCTGGTTGATAGCTACATATCAAAATTTTTTTGACAGCCATTTTATTACGGTATGACGCTAGCTACAATAGCCAGATATTAGTTTATGAAGCTTGCTGTCCTCGTAGCCAAATTGCTGTCTTCATCTTTACAAATATCGATAGCTTTTCGCTAACATAAAAAAGCTAGCGATCCTCGTGGCGAAATCGCTGTCTTTATCGTTACAATTATAGCAAGCTATTCTCTAGCCAATTTCCCACCGGGTTCTTTTATTAAACTTTTTATTTGGACTATCTTTTTACTATAAATAATGTCTTTCAAACTGACGTAGAACCTGTTAACACTCATTTTGCGGTATTGTCCCATTCTTCTTAGTAATTGATCACTTTAAAAAAAGTCAATATAAATTTATAATCATCTTCCAATAGATCTACTATTAATGAAGTTTGACATAATAAAGTTTTTTGTAGTACTGATGATGTTTGAGGAGATGATGTACATTTCTTAAAATTTGGAGTTTTAGTGTTTTTCCATTTATTTATCTAGTCAGCAAAATCTCAAAAAACTTTTTATCGTTAATAATAACAGCATTAGAAACTAATAATAACAGCATTAGATGGTTATTAGAAAACTGATTTTTTGAATTTGTAAATGTCCATTATTTATTGAAAAGTATTTTTATCTATTATAAATAGTAATATTTCTAAATGATCAGAAAATAATTTTCTTGCAGCTGCTGCCGTTTCATGGGATTTACGTAAAGTAACAGTGACATTTTTCTTGTAGTTTCCAGGATGGACAACTTTGTTATTTATTTTCTGAGTTTTTTTTTATTAAAAAATTTGACATGAAGATTTTTGTCAATACGAATACATTCAGCAACTTCAGGTATGTGTAGTTTGTTTTGAACAATTTTATTGAACATGACAATCATCAAGTTCGGAAAATTAATATTCTGTTGGTGAATCAGTAATTGCAACAGAATTAAGATCTTTAATAACATCAATTGATAAAAACTTTTGATATTTATCTTCTCGAAAAAATATTTTAGTTGTTAATTTCCTTGGTAAAGACATAACTGGAAGTGAAGCTGATGCTATGCTAGCCAGGTACCTTGTAGAAACAGGCTTCAAATTATACAACAAATGAAATCTTTTTGCCAATTTTTCTTTGTGTATTAAAATTTCATCAAAACTAAATGACAAGTCAAGGAACTTCTGTCTACAAGTCTAGCCCATAACTTTTTTAAATCATTATCTTTTGGAAAACCAAAAACCGGGGCTACTTCATTGCCATAATAATTAAAAATTTTAAAATAGAGTTAAAACTAACAACACAGTATTTATTAATCATTATTATAACAAATAACAAAATAAATAGACACAAATAACATTACAAAGTTTGGTGAAGTTTAATAGAGATTGCTATTAATCCTACGCGAAAACTTTCATCCAGTGCCAGATTTACTTACTTAAAAGTAATAGTGCAATAATTAAAATAAAATAAGAAAGTTTGCCGATTTGATGGAATATACGTATTTTCAACTTGCCTTCTATTTTTTTTTCGATTTAAGCAGAATAGAAGGCCTTGTATTTAAGTAGGCCATGATGACTCTTAAAAAGCGCGGCACAAATTTTAAACAAAGAAACTAGTTCTGTTAAGGTCGGATTTAATATGTAACAAATATTTACACATTTATGACACATAAACACTTAAAAAATATAATAACACATATAACCTTAACACATATAAACACATAATAAATAATACACATTACCACATCATATGACAAGTAAGAATACTTAAAAACAACTTATACTTAAATACTTAGTACAACCTTATTTTTGTTATTAGAGTTATTTAAAACCTATCAGAAAGTCTATAACAACTGGATTTTTAGTAACAACATCTAGGTTTTTAGTAACATCGACTGTTTTCCATTACAAAAATTATTTTTGTTTTATTAATTATAAAAAATGTGGTGTTGAATAAGTACATTTGTAAATACAACATTGTATTATTGTCAGTAAAGCATTTATTAAATTACATACCTTTTAATGAATGTTCATCAATTATAAAAAGTAGGCTATTAAACGATCTTGTTCTTGGCTATGCAACATATAGTTGTATGTGTGAGATGCAAGGGTTTTGGAAATAAAAACCAAATATATCAAAAGTTTGACCTTTATCTAAAGTTTTATCTTTAAAAAGAGCATCGTCTTCAAGTTCTAAAAAATAAAAATGACAGGCAATTTAAATGCAATTGACAATGAACTTGAGTTGTGTTACTTAAAAATCCATGAATTATATAGATTGCCTGATTTTATAAGTTACTGCACTAATTTAAAAATAACAAAAGGTTTATCTATTACTACAGAAATCATCAAACTATTATCTCATATAAAAATTGTCAGATCAGTTATTGATTAAGCAGATATTAACAGATTATAATAAAAATATAAAAAATTAAAAAATACCTTATTGCGTGGTCAACAATATAAAAAGAAATATTAAAAGGCCAAGCATGCTAAATCTTGTTTAAAAAAACTTCGTTTCAAACGCGCACGAATAGGTAACGCTATCAGCAGCAGCGTTGAATCGATCAATAATTATAAGCAATCACTATCAAACAAATGATAAAATTTCATTAAAGTTTTTAAAATTTTAACATTTCATTAAAACTTTTAATTTATTTCCAGTAATCTAAATTAATTTTTTTAAAAAAAAAAAACATAAAGTTTACATTTTATGGCAAAAATTAAAGACGAGAAAAAAAGATTTTTGTGAGTTTATTAGTGTATTAGTTGAATATTAATTGAAATTTAGCCTTAAGGTGGTTTACCTAGAAATAATTTTTGTCAAATTGATTTTTTTTTCAGAATATTAAATAAAATAGTTCCAAGAACAAATTTTAGTTACTAGTTACTAAAAAAAAAATTAAATTTTGAAATTTTTTGTAAAAAACATCAAATTTTAGCCTAAAAAGGCCTAAAATTGTACGCATGAATGAAACAAGAAAACTCAAACATAAAATGTATATTTCTTTAAAAATTTTGCACAGATAATCTCACTTATATTATCTAGTTCCTGAACTAAAATGATGTTCATTGCGCAAGTAGAAAGACCAATTTTTGAGTTTTTCAATGACTTTTACCACTTTTTGGGGGATTTACATGAAAAAATATGAACAATGAGTAATAACACTGTAAATAAAGCACCTTATGTCTTGCTTTAAGTTCCGTTTTTAGACCTAAATGATTACTGCAAATGCTGAAAATTTTAAGTCCATATCTTAAACCAATCTTGAACTATCTTGTTTCACATAAAGGTAAATAGTGAAAAATAAAAAAAACTGAGAAAACAACATTTTAAAAAATAAAAAATAAAAACAGTTTATAAATTTCTCAAAAGCACACAATTATTTACCTTCAAGTTCATGTTCTTCATTAAACAAGCATTTAGACAATCCTTTTTAATAGATTTCTTTTATAAAAAGTTCTCTTTTCTCTCCATATTACTAACACGACACCTGTTTCTTTTTAATGAACCGTTTACAGTCTTACCACTGTGTGGTATTCTAAAATATTCATAAACACGTTTAAGACTAGATGTTCCTTTGTTCAAAATTGAAATAGCTGAATTTACTTTGATTTCTAAGGTGCATTTCTTCATAAACTCATTTTTAGACACACTTCGGACCAAATAACATTATTGATCCCATCATTGTAATTTTTTGTTTCTCCATGAACACCTTTTCACAAATTGATCATCGCTTAAATCCTTGAAATTACTTAATACGATATCATGGACCCATATAGGTAGATTAACTTTTAGTTTATAGTTTTTCATAATTGGAGTTTTTCCAATAACAGTAACTTTCAGGGTTGTACAGGACATAAAACATGGTGTTGCAATTGACTTTTGAAATCGGTACATTAGAAATGAACTACTCTGAAAAGCAACAATCTTTTAAGTTAATGCCAAATGCACTCATGCCTTTATTTTGTGTGTTTTTTTTCCCACAATATTGGTAGTAAAAATGAACCATTCATATGAACAAGATAAACCATTCATATGAACAAGATAAACCATTTATATGAACAAGATAAACCATTTATATGAACAAGATAAGCCATTTAAGATAAACCATTTATTTTCAATCTGTATAAAAATCCTATTCCCTTTGAAATTTCATTTTTTATGTTTACTCTATTTTGACAATCTGGGCAGCTACCAACTTGCATAAAAATTTCTTTGAAAACAGGGAAATACTTAATCAAATTAAAATTAATTAAACACTGTTTTTCATTCGATTTAAGTTTGCTAAGATTTTTATCACCACATGATTTTTATAGTAAAGTCAATTTCACTTTATCACATATTTTTTGGAACTTGTGTCTAGAATGTTCTCTTAACTTTTCTTATACAATTCTTCTTATTTCCATTTATTTATTAGCTAAAGTGAAATAGTTAAAATCTATAAACAACTTTATAAAAAAAGATAAATATACATAACAAGTTTTATTATTAATTCATCTGTAGAGATATATAAGTGCTCTGTAATAGCTCTTTTATAACACTGAAAGTGTAGTTTGTTTGTTTTATTACCTAAGTTCAATTTTTTAAAAAGTATGCGAAGTATGCAAAAATTAGTCTAAAAACAAGAAAGAAAAGTGTGTTGCTAGGAACCGTTGCTATGTAAAATATGTTCAACCACCTTGCCTAATTCTTAAAATAAACCTTTTGTGTTTGTTTAACAAAAAAACCGGTTTTAGAAATGAATTCAGGAATAATTATTTATCTTAAATTGTTCTAAACTGAAAATTTGAAAATTTTGAAAAAGTTTAACTTTATTTCCTGGTAAACCACCTTAATTAAATTAAACTAAAATGGAAATTGATTGAAAGCAGCCATAATGCAGTAGTTAGCGCACTTGCCTAAGAAGCAAGAGATCCGTGCTTTAATGCCACCTCTGGGCAAATTTTAAATTATCTATGAGGATCCAGCTAACAATTAACGTTCAAGAAACGTTGCCGCAACGTTCAAATAACAAACAGCGAAAGTAAACTTAAAGCGATCCCAAACTCTTAACACATGTTGCGTTCATGTTTAAGATAATGTTATTTTTAACATTATTTTTAATATGAACACAGAGGTTTGAACCAAGTTTTTCTGATTGAAAATAAATAATAAACGCATACCGAGAAAAAACTTATGTTGTTGTTATAGCCGAAGCTCGCCTTCTCCATTTTATTTTTAAAATATTTGTATTAAAAGTCGCAATCTACAGACTTCGGCAATTCCTTTGAAGCGCGTTTAATTCATAATAGTATTTGACGTCAAAGTAAACTTTTAACAAATAAAAAGGGTAAATAAACAAAACTGCGTTTTTCTACTTTTAATTCAAAAAAGTACGATGTAGTATTTTTTTAACATACAGCAAAACAAATTTATTTGTATTATTTTTCCAAACATTGCAAATAATATTTTGTAAAAAGTAAAAATAATAAATTATTATTATTTTATAGGAGCAACTTTGAGCAGCCATGGCGCAGTGGTTAGACTTGTGGCTGAGAACCCAGAGGTCCGGGGCTCGACGCCAGCTCTAGCCCAATAAGCGACATTGGTAAGGAAAGAGGCGCGAACTTCAAATTATATGCTTTCCCGCGGTGCTCCTTGATAAGACCGTAAAGACTTCTGGGAGCACCAAAATAACCTAGAAAAGAAAAAAACTTATTTTTTAAAGATATCTTAATAATTTTTAGATTTTTATTTTTTAAATTAAAACAAATATTAAAGCTTTACTTACCAATCTTATGATTTTCATACTTGTATTTTACACTATATAGAACGTTATATATACGGTCTCTTGTTTTTGCGCAAGAGAACGCAGTAATAAATATTCTGATTCTTACTTATTTTCTTTTAAACAATGGGAACTATTTTCTAACTTCTCTGGTTAGTTTTATCTTATAGCATTTTTTGTTTTCCCGTCGGAAAAAAGTATTTAATAACAATTTCTTCCATTAGCTCACAGTATTAATAATGAATTGTTAAATTTTTTGTATTATAAAAATGTTTTGATTACGCCGATTTAATTTAAATAGCTAAATTTGCTGAATTGGATGTGGATAAAAAAGGAAATATCATTTTATTTTGCATTTGATTTTTGATAACGAAACTTTTAAAATGTCGGCAACTCCATACTTATTAGAACCTGTTAAGGTCATGAAAAAAATATTCAAGAACACACTAAACAATACAGTTGACAGTAGTATCAGATATGAAAATTTGTGAAAGAATATATTGATGCTTAAGAGCACAAAGGAAATATGTCCAACATTAAACGTTAGGTAAACATTAAACAAATTAGGTACTAAAGTATGTAAAAGAAATGAAAATAAAATAGTAAAAAACAAGACTGAATTAATTGAGGAATGCATTTGGTTAAAAACCATGACAATAAATTTACTGTTCAATATTTTATAATCATCAAATTAAAAACATGAAGTACGTACATTTTCCCCCGTTCTATACAACTAAAGTTTAACAAAAATACGGACAAATTATTATTAATTAACGCAGTAATTAACACGTTAATTAGTGGCAATAATTCAAGATAGATGGTAATTTAAATTGTCAAAATGTCGTAACGCGCGTTAAAAAACATATTATATTTGGTATTTCACAATTTATGTATCGTATTTGGGATTTGTCTCTTAACATGGAAAATTAAAAAACTTACAAAATTGACAAATACAAGTTTTCAACCAATTTTCTCTTCCAATTCTCATTTATTCAAAGAAAAGTTACAATTAAACTTTTATTTCTCTCATCTAAAAAAAGAACGAGTGACGCAAAAAAATATATATTCTAAGCAACTCTTATTCATTTAAAGTTTAATTACGCAAAACTTTTTATTTCTCTTTTGTTCTACTCTTTTATAAAAAGAGAAGGAATTTTTTCGCCCGTGCCGCAATGGTTAGACCGCTTGCTTTATAAGCAGGAGATCCAGGTTCGAAACGGACTTTGGACATATTTCGTTTCACGGTAAAGAAGGAGGTGTGAACTTCCTGGTGCTTTGTGCATTTCCACGGTGCTCTGTGACAAGACCGTTAGGACTTCTTGGGGCACCTAAATAACAAATTATAAAAAAAAATAAAAAAACTTTTATTTATTAACATAGAATTAAACTTAAAGATAAAATTAAATTAGAAATAAATTAACCATGAGCAAAGCAACTAACAGTTTAATCTAGGACTATTTTGATATTTAAGAAAATAATCAACATAAACAACATTACCAACAACAATAATCAAATAAGCAACACAATATTGCATAATTTTAGGGGCTTTTTAATTTTATTGCTTAGTCGTTCTAAATAATAAGTAAATTTAGTTCAAGTTAATTTTTCAATGTTTACAGTTGAAATATAATAAAAAAAAAGATCTTGAACTTTTTATTTAGTTATTAATTTTTTACTTAAATTTGCTATAAAAAACTTTAGAACCCCCGTCATTAAAATAATTTGTTTTAAATATATTTCGACGTGATTATTCAAACTAATTTTTTTTGTTTGACTTCCCGAACTTAATACAAAGCAAATTCAGACGAAATATAGCCTAATCAAATAAAAATGCTGTTACTAATTTTATACGGGTAATTAATATAAAACAATTTTTTTATCAGAGTCTTGATTGAGATAATAAATATTCATCATTTATAAACATTCAATATAGCGCAATAACAGTTTATAGCAACGAATTAGCATAAAGTATTTAAGGGTTTTAATATCTTTTTAAATGATAAGTAAAAAATAAATAACTAAACAAATAATGAAAAACTTTATAAATAAAAATAAATAAATTTTTCTCCAGAGATTCGTTTACCGTGACGTCAAATACTAAAACTTCAAGGATATCGCCGGTCTGTAGATTACAACGTATAATTTAAAGACTCGGAATTTTTGAATAAAATTGAGAAGGCGAGCTTCCGCTAAAATTACAACATTAGTTTTTCTCGGTATGCATTCGTTATTTATTTTTAATCAAAAAAACTTGGTTCAAATTTTTTTTTTAACATTATCTTTAATATGAACACAACATGTGTTGAGAGTTTGGGATCCCTTTATGGTTCACTGCAAACGTTATTTAGTTGTTTTGTTAGCTCTTGAGCGTTTGCCTCAAACACGCAATAACGAAAACGGAAGTACTTTTTTTTTATTTTAAAACCAATAAACGTATAGAGTTAGACGAATTTTCTGATTGAACTTACATAACCCTTATTTATTTAAATAAATAATGCTTTTTTGAATTTTCATAACCCTTATTTGTTGTAACAATCGTTAAATAAATGCTAAAGTATAAAAATTTTTTACATAGCTGCAAATTCGCCATGTTTTACAACTAAATTACACCATATCAAGCTTATTTAAGAGTCCATGATTTAATTATTACATTTCAACCATAAGGCACACGATTAACAAAAATTTATACAAAAAATAATACTTCTTGCTATAAAAAAATTTATTTATTATTAACAGCTAGTGCTTTAAAGGGCACAAACAACAACTCACATCAACTTAAGTCAAATTTGCCTAAAAAACAACATCAAGAACATAAAAAATAAATACGTGTTATTCAGTAAAAAAGTGCATCTTTTACCACTAAAACAAAAAAATATACACGTCTATTTTAAAATAGCACAATTTACAATACTTAATCAAAAATGAAATTCTTTTTTCCTGATAAAAATTTTCTTATTGAAAATTTAAATTTTTTTATTAAAACTAAAGCACTTTGTGGTTTTGATAAACAAGCTAGTTTTATTGATTACTTAAATTTACCATTAATAAAAAACTTAAACTGTTATAAAATGTCAATTCTATAAAATAAAAAAAAACAGTTTTATATATGAACCACTAAAATAGACACCTCAAAAGCTTATTCAAACTATAATAAATGAACATAATATTAATTAATAGTCTGGTATTATTCATAAAACATTGCTTTACATAGCTGAAACAGGAAACTGCAATATACAAGTCAAATAAATTGTCTAATTTGTCCTCTCCAAGACGACCTAGTATTTGTAACAAATTTTTATTTTATTTATTATAAACATATTGCATGACAGATTTGTGACCAATCTCTGAAAGACAAACTGTTTTTATCAGAAGCATCAGAATCTGAATCAGATTGAACAAGAAACTCTTTTTTCTAGTTGCGCGAACTTGAAAACAGCTGTTACTCGACATTTACACCATCATCGGTACAACATGAAGTTATTTTTTCAAAACAAGTTTCTTTCCGTGTTGTATTATAGCTAAAGAGCTTACTTAGCTGCCATACACTTTAGTCTGTATATCTGATAATGCACATTGTTTCGCTTCATTTTAACTATTTTCAAGTATGATATGATCTTCACATAACAATGTAATAAACAAAACAAGTGAAACTTCTTATTTACCCGGTGGGAAATCTGCTAGCGAATAGATAGCGATATTTGTTACGATTACGACAGCGATTTGGCCTTAAGGATTGCTAGCTTTATAAGCTAGTGAGCCGCTAGCTAAACAAGCTAGCGATTCGCTAGCTAAACAAGCTAGCGAATAACTAGCATTAAGTCGTTACGATTAAGACAGCGGTTTGGTCACGAGGATCGCTAGCTTTATAAGCTAGCAATCTGCAAGTAAACAAGCTAGCAAATAGCTAGCGATAAGTTGTTACGATAAAGACAGCGAAATGGCCACAAGGATCGCTAGCTAAATAAGCTAGCGAGTAGCTAGCATTAAGTCGTTACGATAAAGAAAGCGATTTGGCCACGAGGATCGCTAGTTTTATAAGCTAGCGATCCGCTAGCTTAACAAATTAGCGAACAGCTAGTGATAATTCGTTACGATAAAGACAGCCATTTGGCCACGAGGATTGCTAGCTATATATGCTAGCGACTAGCTAGTGAAAACTTGTAAGAATAACTACAACTGTTAGGCTAGAAATTATCGGCTAAGATATGCTCAAAGAATCGCGTGCTATATTTTTCAGAGGAGTGAATTATAACCATTAAAACAAGATAGCATTTATAACAAATTAAATACAAAATGTAATACTTCTTTCCATAAAAAGTTATAAATGTTAAAGCCATTATAAAATGTTAAAAGAAAAAAAAAATAGATTACTTTTGAAAAATAAAGAGTCATTAACAACTAAATGATTTTTCTTAAATTAAATTGATAATTTTAAAAGATATTTAAAAAGATAATAGAATAAAATTTCTGTCAAATTTTAGTTTTTTTTATCTTTATCAACTTTCAAAAATACTTCTAAAACAGATGTAACAAAAAAAATGTATAAAAAAAGTGAATAAATAATAATAGAACAAATTAAAAAAATAAGTCAACTGGAATCACTACACGAGTCAGAGTTTAAATTTCTTTTATAACAGGACTGTGTACTTGTATATCAATTATTAAAGATGATTTTCTCTTTCTTGTAGAAAAATAACGATCTTTAGATTTGTTCAAGTGTTTCGCAATTATGGTAGTCACACTGAATTCAGTGGCAGTTGGAAATAAACAGTAAGCTGCATTAAAAATCAAACTTTCGACTGGTCCTATAAACCTACGCTTTTTATTTGCACCAGTTCGATTAATGCTGCAACATAGCTAGTTTGTTAAACAAGTTTTTAAAGCATTTTTTAAAAAGTCACTTACATTTCTCCCACCAACTTGCTTCATCTTTCTACAAATGATATCTTTATCATTAGAGTTAATTATTTTATTTCCTAGTGAGTCAAACTTTTTAACTGAATTAGCTGGTAAATAAAGTTATTTATTTGGTCAATCCCAGTGTTTTGAGATGGTTAAGAAAAGGAAGAAGATTAATATAATAACGGTTGAATTTGTGAAACATACTGATTCTCGGATAGAATCACTATCTGTTTAACTGGCAAGTCATCTAATTGATCCACTGAGGCAGAGACAGGCAGAAAGTTCTAAAATAAGATTAACAATGATTATAAATACTCTTAAATGATATAAAAACTCTTTAACAATATTTTAATTATATTATAGTGTTTTTTTTTTTAATTTAAAAATTGTAACTAAAAAAGCAAATAAACCATAAAAATGAAACAAAAAAAAATGATTATTTTTACAATTGGGATAAAAAAATTTTAAATGTATACTTAATAGAAATCAGGAAACTTTGGTGGCTCCCACAATGGCAATGATGACAAAGATGGTTCTTCAAAAAGGCCTTTTCTTTTCTCTTTCTGTTTTGTTGACTTATAGGAGTTTTCTTGTGTTTTTTTTTTATGTATTAAAATCAATTTCTATTTCTGATTCTGCAGTAGGAACAAATGCTACAAAACAAATAACTTTCTAATATACATACAATCATAGTTTATAACAATAGTTTAATACAATTATAGTTTTATTCAATATACATATCATAGATCATCCAGGTAATATTTTAAAAATCCAGAAAATTGTTTGGGTATAATACCTGCAATATTTTCCTCTTAATTTTGTTTATAGCTGAGTTTTTTTTGGGGTAAAATACCTGGAATTTTTGGGTATAGTGCATTGATTACAATATAATAATTTATTAAGTTGATTTAAAAATACTCACAATCACTGAGATTTTTGAAATTTGTGGAATTCCACAAATTTTTGAAGTTTGTGGAATGCTCTGCTTTTTGCTTTGGCCCACAAAAGTTTAATTTTTTTAGTTTTTTTTTTTCAATACAAAGTTTTGCATTTTTTGAATAAGCGATTTTGTATCAATTCCAACTGAAATTTACAAAATAAAATAAAAAATACCATTTTGTAACATTAATTTATTTTTAAAAAGTGTTACTACTGAAACACTTCTTATTTTTTAACTCCAACAGGGTTAAAAAATACTTATCTGTATTAGTGCAGACTAACCAGGAATGACTTAGTACCATTTTGCAAACCACACCACTTGCGGCACTTAATTTGTAAGTCGCACCATTTGCAGGTACTTTTTTGAAAGCCACACCGCTTGTTGTACCTTATTTACATGTCACGCCACTTGCAGGTACTTTGTTGCAAATCGTACTACTTGCTGTACGTATTTTGCAAGCCACACCACTTGCGTTACATTATTTATATATGTAAATAGTATACATTCACATAACATTTAGCTTCATTTATATACAATATATACTTATATCTCAAAAATAATATTATTACAGTTTATCTTTTGTGAACATTTAAAATCACATAGTCATTTTATGAAAATATCAACTCTCCTGATATAACATCAGCTGCAAGTTGGAACTTTTTTATGCAATAGCCAACAACTTCTGAATCGGTTTCTTCAATTTTCCGGTAAGAAATAGTAAAAATTCTGTCATCTTTTCTTTTATTTACTTTTTCTACTCGCCCATCATATATGACAGGCTTGCTATTCAAATTCCTACAATTTTATTTTTTCTAATAACAATATTATCTTTGACCATTACAGGTTTTAACCTTTTGCTTTCCGACAATATGTAATTTGTCTTTTTTTTTTTTTCATTAATTTTTTGCCTTTTGCATGAAATCTCTGCTCGTAATGCAGTGTGATTTAGTGTTTTTTTTTTTTTTGATGAGCTGCATTAATAGACCACTTAACTACATTTTCTCTTTATATCATGTTAAGACTTTCCAGATAATCTACTGTTCTATTCTTTTTTGATCTTAATTTGTAAGATATATAACAAATTGCTGCATGAGGGATTTTCCTTTAGCTTCGCTAAACATACCCATTTATTCTTTACTACTGATTTAATGAAGCCTTGCACTTGCTGTCTCCTCCTTGAGTGTCGCTGTTATAGAAAGAGAAAAGTTCCTTTCACATTGTCGCATCAAGACATCATGTACTGCCTTGAGACAAGCAGAAATCATCTTGAATATCTGGTCATCATGTTACATAAAGTTGTAATTGGTTCTAAAATATATGGTATGAGCGGTTTCCCAAAAAAATCTGTCACTCTACAAAACAGTACAGTTGGATTTAATTTGCAATTATAAATTTTTGTCAAAATATCCTTTATTACTTGGATATTAGTGACATGATCAAAATTTGCATTCTCAGCTAAGACATAGCTTTTTGACATCCATGGTCCAGTAAGAATTTTTCCAAAAATCCCAAGCACACACATTTGTTTTATAGCAGTTGCATTACAAAAAGCTGTTCGCAAAACTAACTGTAAAGTACCGCATTTTACTGTTCTAGTTGTCAGAAAACGTAAAAAATCAGCATAGTGTTTAATAAAAATATATAATGTATGGAAAAGAATATGAAGACGGTTTCCTCGATATCTTGAATATTAACAATTATTTACATTTACTATTATTTACAATTACTAAAAAAATATTTACAATTACTAAAAAATTTACAATTATTAAAATTACAAACCCTTGAATATTGACATCATTGAAACTCATTTTGTTCATAGCCAAAACAATTTTAACTGCCTTGCAATCATTTTCAAATAACTTACGAGTTTCAGATTCTGAGACTTTAATGCTTAACGACAGTTGCAATTGTGTCAAGAGGGTGCAATTGTGTCAAGAGGGTGCAATTGTGTCAAGAGGGTGCAATTGTGTCAAGAGGGTGCAATTGTGTCAAGAGGGTGCAATTGTGTCAAGAGAACGCAAATGGCAATTGGAAGAATAGTAAACAGGCTTTCAGAGTTTATTGTAAATTATTTTATAAAATTACATTTCATGCCGTAAAAATGCAGAGAAAATTTATTTATTTCCTTATTAATATAGGAAATAAAAGCTTGAATTTGATTTTTATTAAATTCTGTATGTTTTTGTAAAAATCTGAATACGTATAAATAAATTTCGACCCTTTTAATATAAGTTTTAATGCCGCCCGTACCCGCTCCAGAACAATTATTTTCAATTTTAAAATGTTTTTAGTTGATTTTTTTTACATTAAACATGACAGTCGTTTTTATTCAGTGCTAAAAATCGCGCTCCAATTTTATTTTTTAATATAGTCCTTAACATGCATAAAATAAAATTACCAGATTAAAAGTAAAAATTTTAGATTAAAAATAAAATTATCAGATTGAAAATAAAATTATCAGATTAAAAATGAAATCAGAAATATTGATTTTGAAAAAAAATACAAAAGAGGTTTTCCTTTCGGAATAAGAAAAAATATAAAAAATAGAAGCACTGGTATTACTTAATAATAATAGTTTAGAATTATTATAATTAAAAGTAAGTTTCATAGTGACATTTGTGAAGACTTTTTTCAGCATTTTCGCCAAAAGTTCCAACTGGCAAAATTAATTTAACCATGATTTGAGCTCTATTAGTTAAAACTTTATGAATACAAGTTGGAGTTTTAAACCATGAATATTTCTCATTGATAATTAAAACTTTGTAGACAATAATTTTCAAATTTGATTGGATCAATTTGAGTTTGACAAGACAAACATATTAATATTGTTCTCAAATGGACAATAAGACTTATACCTGTATCCAATATTTCTGATAACAATATTGGATCAAAAAAGGCTCGCCGTGCAGTATTGCAGTTATTAGATAAACCAGTACCACCTGGACAAACCCCATGTCTACATGTAAAATAAATTTTTCCAAAAATCTTTTTTGAAAAAGACTTTTCTAGCTTTTACATAACTTTATTTATTTTTCCTTTTTTCTGCCATTGCTTAATACCCAATTGTATGACAAATGGAGGAGATTTTCCATTAAATGGATCTAGCAATGAAGTGGTCTTATTTTAAAGAGTTAAAAATGCTTTCTTAGTGTTAAATATTTTAAATAGTTTATTTGTGTAGTTTTCAATGTGACTCATTTCAGAAGTTGTTGCTTTACAAAGCGGACAAAACTGATAAGACGTGATTTCCCCTAAAACCTTTTCATTAATGACTGTTAAAAATAAAGAGCTTTAGATATTAGGAACTTTGCTATTTGATAGCTGCTTTATAATATGAGGAAGTTCATTTATTTGTCGTTCAACAAAAATTTGTTTCGAGAATAAATTCTTTACTTTCTTTAGCATACTATAAGACCATTGGTCTGCAAAATCTAACAGAATTAGGAGTTGGGTTTGCCCAAAACACATCCCAGTCATATGTTTGAAGTCTTAAGGGTACAATTGTAACAGAAAAAAGCGATTCATCTGATGAACTTTTAAATAACTCATCGAACCTTTGATTAAATTGGGTAAAATTACTGGTTCCATCAAATCCCTAATTTACAAAAAAAATAAACTCATTTAAGTCCTTTTCTTTATCAGCAATTTTAGATATAATATGCGCCTCTTGTGATTCTACTGTTCTTTGAACAGTATGAAGATTTTTTAATGGCACATTTTCCTCCTTGTCAGAGATGTGCATATTATTTGGTCTGCACTTTGGTCTTCACAGAATATCACTGTAAATCGGATAAATATTTGGTCTGCACAGAATATCACTGTAAATCGGATAAATATCTGCCCCCTCTCTTTACACTCCAATCTTATGACCGTGTACTGAGAATTAGTAAAACGATAATTTAATAGAAAAGCAAGTCCCTCTTCTGGAGACATTTTTTTATTTCTTTGTCAATGTTTTTATTGATATCATATGCTAATTGTTAATGCACTAGTAGAATGCACATGATAATTTTTTCTAAGTTCTTATTACCTATTTGTTTGGCTGTGTATCTTGCTGTATCGAGTATATAATTTGCATCATATTCAACTTTTTCAGACAGATTAGAAATCGCTATTCTTTTAGCTTGTTTTCCATTTTTGCTCTAAAAGGCAGTGTATGCCGACCTTTCTTTAACTCTGGTATTTCTAATTCATTTGAGAATTTTCAGATATTGACTTTCTATGAAATTTATACTTGAAGTATTGAACATTGTATATTTTTTGTTTGTACGTGGTTTGTAATGTTAATGATTTATTGTTAATTCTTTTTCTTGAGTACCTTCAGTTTTGATAACATTCTTCTTCTCCAAAAAAATTTAATTATTCTGATATTTTAATAACATCACCAGTCACAAAAGAAGTAAAATTTTTATTCTTTAACTTCATTTTATACTTTTAATAACATCACCAGTCACAAAAGAAATATAATCTTTAATCTTTAACTTTATTTTGTACTTTTAATAACATCGCTACCAAAGAAATCTTTATTCTTTAACTTCGTTTTGTATTTTTAGTAACATCACCATCAAAGAAAAAAAATCTTTTTAACTTTATTATGATTTGTACTTTATTATTTACACAATTTTAAGTCGATTTTTTGTAAACTCTTTCAATTTGCGGAAGCTTTTGAGGTTATATTAATTTAAAGGAAGTATTCTGAAGTTATATTAATAG